AACACCCCCACTGAGCCTGAATGAGGCTCCTCCCCATTTCTGTCTTTCGTAAAATCCATCGTACAGTTCCAGTCCCCGCCGACCACCAGCGTCTCCTCAGGCGCTACCTGTGAGAGTTCCTTTCTAAGACACCCAAATAGAACCCCCCTCTCTCTCCCTGTGTTGGGCGCATACACATTTATAAAGACAAAACCCCTGTTGTTAATTTCTGCCTTTACTACAAGCAGTCTACCTGTACACACCTCTTTTGAGGAGCAAATTTTTACAGACAGACCCGGTACAAAAAGGACTGCCACCCCTGCACTAACATTTGTTCCATGGCTCAGCACACTTGCCCCTTTCCACCAGAGCCCCCAATCAACTTCATTCACCACATCGCTATGCGTCTCCTGCAGAAACAACACTTGTACTTTTTTTTGTTTTACATATTCATCCAACACACTCCTCTTTCCCGCATCTCTGGCGCCATTAATATTAAGCGAGCCTACCCAAAGAGTCTCCATAAGAAGTGGGAGAAAAGCCAGCAAAGAAAGAGACCAATAGCAAAGCTCAAAAAGCTCCAGTGCCAGAAAGAAAACTTTCATCTAGACAGTGTCTGAAGGTAGACCTTTACGCACTGTTGTGACCCACTTCCTTAACCTAAACCGTTTCCTGGGTGAGAGGACACCATGCCCCTCATTTTTCATTGCATGTTGCACTGATCTTACAAACTTTCCCGGATCGCAAAAAAAAAGCCTCAAGATTAACTTTTTTCCCCTTAGTCTCCTTCAGGAACCTTGACAGTTCCGTCACCGTGTACTTTGACCCCTCTGACTGACTGGCTGTCAGCTCTGGACCCATTGAGGAGGAGTCTGAAAAGAAATCCTCATCGGCTTCTTCCTCAGACTCACCTTCCTCCTCCTCATCTCCATCTCCCAACCTGACCACCTGTCCTTCCTCTCTAGTCGGGGCCTCCCCCCCCCCCACCAGGCAACCTGACCACCTGCCCTTCCTCTCTAGTCGGGGCCTCCCCCCCAGCACCAGGCAAAGGTTCCTTGGTGTCTTTCATCACACCAGCCTCTGCCCTCCCACCTCCTTTCTTCTCCCCCTTTTTCCTCTTCCGCTTGACACCCTCCTCCACCCCTCCTAGTCGCTTACCCTTCCCCACTACACTCTCCTCATCCACTAGCATAACCTGACTAGACCCAGCCTCATCTACACCACCATCTATAGCATGACTAGACCCAGCCTCACTTACACCACCATCCATAACCTGACTAGGCCCAGCCTCATCTACACCACACTCCATAACATGACTAGACCCAGCCTCATCTACACCACCATCTATAGCATGACTAGACCCAGCCTCATCTACACCACCATCTATAGCATGACTAGACCCAGCCTCATCTACACCACCATCTATAGCATGACTAGACCCAGCCCCATCTACACCACCACCTATAGCATGACTAGGCCCAGCCTCATCTACACCCCCATCTATAGCATGACTAGACCCAGCCCCATCTACACCACCACCTATAGCATGACTAGACCCAGCCTTAACTACACCACCATCTGTCGCATGACTAGACCCAGCCTCTGCTGCCTGCGTCTCATGGGCCCCTGCACGTTGACCTCGATTTCCCCCACTGGCGCTTGAACCCTCACCTTGTCTACGGCCTTTATGTGGGCACGCAAAGCTCTTATGCCCCAAATCCCCACACTCAAAACACCGTAGACTATCTGTGCTGGCAAAACCTGCGTAGAGCCCCTCCCCATGCCTCACTTTAAAGTGCACATTTAACTGTTGCTCATTGTTGTTCAGAAACATGAACACTTGCCTCCGGAATGAAACAACGTGCTTGACGGCATCTGCCTGAAAACCTGCCGACAGTACACGAAAACCACTAGCAAATTTACCAAACCGACTCAACTCCTTCCTGATTTGATCATCCGTAATAAACGGAGGCAAATTTGCAACTACCACCCTGGTCGAAGGGGTAGAAAGAGGAGAAATTGGCACCAACACATCCCTTACAAATATTCCGCTTGAAATGAGCCTACCCACCAAATTTGCCCTTTTCATGAACACAACCACAGCTTTGTTCATTCTGGACGCGGAATGTATAAATTCGGCTCCTACCTGTTCGCCGACCGCGAGCAGAACCTCCTCCACCTTAATTCCATTATCGGGAACACACCTGAATCCATGCCGTAACGACAGCGTCTCCTCCGCGCTAGGCTGCGAAGCCATCGCTCACACCTCACCGTTCAAAACCCCAGGAAACTAAACCTCTGTCCTCTTCCTCTCTAACTTTGAAAAATAAAACCCAGTGGGTACCACTAAAACAAACAGTGCATTAACCCTCCACCATAGAAAAGAGAAAACAAGGAAGGAAACAAACAAATTAGTTAGGACAAGCCCTCCACACCAAACACTCAAACTCCAAAAAACTCCCAGCATGCACTGAGAGAGAGAGAGAGAGAGAGAGAGAGAGAGACCATTTTACCTCCTGTCCAGTGGTGAATTTACCATGAAAATATTGGTGTGGCAAACTAAATCAACAAAGCTCATATGTATTGAAACCAGTACGCTACACATTGAATGCACTAATAATGAATCCCAGAAATTAGTTTTGAGCCACACACACAAACGTTATAACATTTGGGTTATGATCAGTTTATGGCTACGTCCCAAATCTTTAGCTCTTATTGCACGAAAGACCACGGTAGTCGAGCATACTTTTATAGAGTGAACTAACTATTAATCGGTCTGTAATATTGTAACACTGCATGCACCTGCCGGCCTGTTACAAAGGGGCCTGGTTAATTAACAAAATGCAATGTTTATAATGCTATTCCCTTGCTTCATCTATTGCACAGTTACAGTTCCATCAAATACATTTATAACTAATCTTTCTTCTACATATGGTTCCATGGGTATTACAGTCTGCCATCAAACATCCACAATAGCCACTGCTCCATGATCCACCACCAATCTCTCGACTTGAATCTTCTTTTCCAGCTTGCTTTATTTTAATGGATAGCCATATTTTAAAGTTTAGGTGGGTAATTATCACCAAGGAATTTTATCTCTACATTTCCTTCATAACGCTACCTTTGAAAATCATTTGCTAGGAGATAGCTAAGCTAGTCGACATGTTTCAGCTAGCTAAGCTACCTAGCTTCAAGACATGGTAACAGTGTGTGGTAAAAAACTAGCTAGCTTTGAGGTTGACACATTTGAATCAAAGTTACCGGGCATAAGATGTTGATTTATCTGTGGCCAATGACAATGAGCCTTCTTGGGCCGGCACTTCTACTGTAAATCAATGGAGCACCGAAGAGGGGCTTTTGCTGGCTAGCTCTCCCAGCAGGTGCTGAGGTGACAGCACCCTGAGCCAATCACGCGCAACCAGAGAAGATCAAAGACGCCTACGCTCTGTACTGTCTCTTTTTTTGTTTTGTTTTTACCTTTATTTAACCAGGTAAGCCAGTTGAGAACAAGTTCTCACTTACAACTGCGACATGGCCAAGATAAAGCAAAGCAGTGCGATAAAAAACAACAACACAGAGTTACATATGGGGTAAAACAAAACATAGTCAAAAATGCCCCTCCACCACAGAAAGCACAGAGCAAGGCTGAAACAGCTGTATTTTGGAGCTGCCTTACTCAACGAAAATTAACCAAAACAACAATACAATGGAAACCGACCACGTATGCTTTATTAGATCAAGCATTTTGTGCATAAAATGTAATTGTTTTCTAACCGTAAGTTTATTATTCCTCTGTACTTGGAATGGATGCCTGCCCTTAGTGTCTCTGCACCACTACTGTCCACATCAGTCCCTTAGCCTTGTTCATTGGCACCTCCACTTCCTCTCTCTGAAGGGACTGTTTAGTCAGCACATCTACTTCCTCATTCCCTTCCCCCTCCACATGGGCTCGACATTGCCTAAATGGTTGCGCTTGTTTTATTAGGTTGTTTAGTGCACCGGACAAAGGTGTCCTGAACACAGGTTGCACAGCCACACCGTTGTTTTTATTGAGAGAATGACGAATGATACTGTCAAAAATATGGAAAAATCCAAAACGGAGGCTCAGATACAAAAATACACATTATTTATTAGGAATTATTTATTATGTATGTATTTTCTTGTTAATAGCCCAAACGCACCAACATATTTCAACCCCTAAATGCACCAACAGGGGTCATTTTTGACCCCAAATTGGAAACGATGGCAAAATGACACTTTCTTTCAAACAGTAACACTTTTTCTTTTATAAAAATTTTGTAACACAAGTAAATGGTTGAAATTCCCCAAAATATGCATACATTTTTTAATTTTCACACATTTATAGTCAACTTTTATGTTTAAAAATATACATTTTTGTATGTTTTTCATGTTTTAAACTGTTATTTTGATCAATAGAAGTTTAATTCCAAATCTCTATATATCAATTTTCAGAAATGTTGGTAAATTAGCTTTTATTGTTTAAAGAACTTATGAAAGATATGGGTGTTTTTTTTTCACCATCTAGTCATGGTATGGGGTTGTTCAATGACATACATGTATTTGTTTGAAATCTATCATATTTTTTTCACAAAGTTTACTATTGAGTATACAAATGAGAGATTATATATATAACATAGAAATTATATATTAACACAGAAATCAACGTAACATTTTCAGAAGGATAAAAAAAGGGTTTCAAAATGATGAATTTACCCCTGTTGATGCTTATAGGGTTAATGTAAAACATTATTCCAGAAGTGTGCAACATTTATGTATTTTATACTATAATAAAAAAACGTTTATAACCAGGTCTGTCTTGAAAAATAGATTTTATCTCCATGAGAAAAACCTGTAAAGGTTAAATAATAATAAAACAAATAATAATAATAATAGCAAATTATTATTTTTAAACACATTAAGGCCATCTATTGCCCTATGATTATGATCATTTTGTTGATTGCTTGATTGATTGGTTGAAGGAGAGGCCAAAGGGGACTCCATTAGAAGAACTCGGTGGGGTTGGACTTGTCACACATCTGGACGTGGACGTGAGAAGTGATCCCTGGGTAGACACTCTGCATTGTCAGCAGGGTCCCAATCCTCTGGCCCTTCTTCACCACCCCAGAGTACTTGTCAGGCTTCACGTAGAACAGCTTAAAGCACAGACCTAGAAAACAGAGACAACCACAGTGTCAGTCAATCAATCAATTAGCCAATCGATTCAATAGTTTATGAATGAACCATTACCCAATGATATCCCATATATTCTTCCAATATCCATTCTGCCATGTGACATATTAGTTGCCAGTATACCTCAGTGAAACAACAGAGTCAGAATATCGGGATACGGGACAGCCTAAAAACACGGCACTTCGATACAGCCACGACCAAAAGTGTCTTTTTCGTAGCTGGTTAGGAGAACTTACGCAATAGGTAAGGATAATTAATGTAGCAGGTTAGGAGAATTAAGTTAAGGTTAAGAAAAGGGTTAGGGTTAGGGTTAGCGAAAATGCTTTCCTAGCCTGTTACAAAATCACTTTGTATGAAGTGGTTGGTTTTTAGGGAGTCCCATCGGGATACAGTGCATATTTACAAGCATGGCATTAACTTAACTATTTATCTCAGTTATTTTAAAAACATGATTCAGGATAGACACTGACCCTCTCCACTGAGGTTGATCCCATCGTTGATGGCTGCCTTCTTCGGGTCTGTGTACACGATCACTTTCCCGTTGAGCTTCACGTCAAATGGAGCGTACACTGTGGCCCCATCATTACACACAATGTCCAGGCCCTGATGCACACGGTCTCCTCTGGACATAGAGATAGGAAAGGGTTAATTAATGCTGGGGGATTCATTCAGAGTCTCTCAATCACAACACTATGGTATGTTTTCATCCTTTTCTGTCGTAAAGTATTGTACTGTATACAGTAAGAGCATGGTCTCAGATCAAAGTTATATTATATTGTATTAAAGGGTTCTAAGATTTAAATAATTATCATGGAATGTGGTTAACATCTCACCAACTAAAGTATGAGGTAAATTGCGGACAGTAAAATAAAACAAAACCAAACTGATACATCAAAATACATGCCACAAATACATACAGACACACACACACTTGCCATACCTGCGTGCCCCGTATTGTCCTTGTCCCCATCTGTCCCCTGTCCTCCTCCTGTTACTGGAGTTGCCGCTGCACAGCTGACCAAACTTGACCATCTCACACTCTGACAACACAGCTAGAGATGGGATGGACAACAGATATATTGACTAAGGAGGAAAACATTTTATGCTGATATTTTCCACTAAACTATTTAAGGGCATTTATATTAAGATGCCAAAATTATATTGAACAGAAACTGCACCCAGAACCAAACCGCATGTGCGAGCTGGTCAGCTACTTGATTTGAATCTATATAAGAATGTGATAGATATTGCAATGGATTTACCTAATAGTTAAATAAGTCATTTTGGATTATTCTTACCTATGAGGACCACAGTAAACAAAAGAACAGCAGTCTTCATGTTGAAACCTTAGGTGATACTTTCACTCAAGGAGAAACTCTACGAGAAGGTCTTGCTCAGCTTCAGTCTGTGCTTCTGACTGCATAATGTCTGTGCTTTAAGTACCTCTTGAAGTGCAACTTTCCCACATTGCACACCCTTGTTTCACACTCTTTCCTCAGAGTGGAAAAACCTGAATCTGGAAATGCTTTGTTTACTTTGTGAAAGCCAGAAAAAAAGATTTGGTAGAACAAAATGGTGGACAGCAGGGTAAACAAGTGGTGTTTTGCTAAAATGTTTATTCTATTCTTCTGAGCCATTTACTTTATGTTCATATTCTTATCTTTTATAATGTTTTATTGTTGTTGCATTGTCGAGAAGGAAGCTGCAAGTAAGCATTTCTTTGGACTTGAAACTTGAAGCCTGTCCCTGACCTTTACATGTTTCTTGGCAAATAAGGTATGTTCAGAATATTCTGATTGGGTTAAACAAAATACAGAAAAAGGTTGACATATTATGACATTTGGGTCAACTATCACTTTAAGCAATGAATATACTCCAATAGAGAATAAATGTAAACTTTATTTCAGAAATAAGTGCCTAACACATGGTGTACATTATACAACAATACACAATTATAAAAAACACATAATGGCCATCTTTGACCTGCTATTGTGATAATGTTCAAGTGTATTGGTTAGTATGTAAAGCACCTGGTTATAAGAAACCATCAAAGGTATCACAAATCAGTTTTACATAATTGACCCTTCGCTAAACTCCGCCCAATCAGATCTTTCCGGAAAAAATCCTAATGTTGTCTATGGGCTACAGGTAGGGATACTTTTCCTTTCTCTGCTACAAGTGAACAGAAAATGGTAAAACGGTGTGCCTGGGGCACATGTAATACTGACAGTCAGTAGCTGGAGAGGTTAGACGGTGGTGTCTTTTTTATACCCTTTCCAAAACCAAAATCTAACGGAGAGAAGTGTAGGTTGTGGATGAAGTGCATAATGTGGAATATCTCAATATATTACTATGGAGAAAAAAGAAGCCAGATACCACCTGGTTAAAGGGACATTTCCAATGAAAGTGTTTCCAATGACATCATCAACCAATTAGTAGGCAATGCCTAATCATAATTGGTTAAAATCACAAGATGCACACTGATGATGTCATTGGAAACACTTTATCTTCCTCTATATTGTATTACTACAAAACATAGAAACACGTCATTTTCACATATGTTGATGTTGAGGTGGTGCTGGAGATTATGAATATGAAGTTGAAACATTTAGACATTTCCCTTTAACAAGTCAGCTCGCTAACTTTGTTAGGCTACATGTTGTATCACAAATCTTTAGCTGGCTATCTGCTAAAATACATAATTCTTTCAGCACTTTGTTGATGGGAAGCCAAGACTTCAGCATCCAAATCAGCTGCTGCTGCTGTTGCTGGAGGAGATGCAGTCATACTATGCAGACCACCTCCAAAAGAAAGGGATTGTAATATGAGGTTTAATTCAACCTAACCTACATTACCAAATGTTAATAATAAATAATAATATGCCATTTAGGAGACGCTTTTATCCAAAGCGACTTACAGTCATGTGTGCATAAATTTTTTACGTATAGGTGGTCCCGGGGATCGAACCCACTACCCTGGAGTTACAAGAGCCAAATTACTACCCTGGTGTTACAAGCGGCAAATGTTGACAGACACTCAGGAGAACATTTCATAAGTAAATCCTTTAAATGGAGGCTTTATACATAAATTATATACAACTTACATAACTCATACATAACTACACAACTTAGTGCAATCACAAGTACAACGTAGGTAACAGATGTCTGATTTACATATCATTTGACCCAAGAGACCTCAAACAATATAACCTTGACACTAAATGAATAACTGAATGAATAACACACTACATGTATCATCACTTTGCAAAGTTGATAGATTAATTATTAATGACTAATTATTACACCCTGAAACTGTGTATAATGTGTTAGAAATGTGTGAGTGTAGGACCAGTAAAGGCTATGGCATTGAGCCACTATTTAGCAATGTGAGTAAGAGTTAGGCCAGACAACAAAGACAACTGAGAAACTAAGATGAAGAGGCCTCCCAATTTAGGGAGGGGAGAAACTGTTATGAAAACATGGTGCAGAATATTGTGAGAACGGCAATAACTGAGTAGGATATGTGTGTCACGCCCTGGCTCTGGGGACTCTTAAATGTTGAGCCAGGGTGTGGACTTGTAATGTTTGCTTGGGAGGACATATTCGCGGGCAGAGGGCCATGGGCAAAAGTAAAGGCCCAGGCAGGAGAGGAGAAACGGCGCCAACCGTGCCGACGACGGACACGCGAGAGGCAACCCCAAGTAATTTTTTTGGGGGGGCACACGGCATGGACGACAGGGCTGCTGGAGGCAGCTACAGGGCGCATCGGCGATCTAGGAGAGGAGGCCACCAGGTTTGGGGGGCTGGAAGGGTGGTTGGCGGAGCCTAGAGGTAGAGCAGAGCCAACTCCCCATACTCAGGCTAGGCAGCGTGAGACTGGGCAGGTTCCGGGTTATGCGGAGCCACGTACTGTGCCGCGAGTGTTCCGGCACAGTCCTGTACGTCCTGTGCTAGCACCACGCACGTGTCGTGCTAAGGTGGGCATGCAGCCAGGACGGAGTGTGCCGGCTCAACGCTCGTGGCCTCCAGTACCCCTCCTCGGTCCCGGATATCCTGCGCCAGTGCCACGTGCTGTAGCGCCACGTGCTGTAGCGCCAGTACGAGTGCACAGCCCTGTACGTCCTGTGCAGATGCCTCACACACAGGGTGTGGAGATAGGCATTCAGCCAGGACGGGTTGTGTCAGCTCTCCGCTCCAGACCTCCAGTCTGTCTCCACAACCCGGTCTGGCCTGTTCCTGTCCCTCGGCACCAAGCCTGTGGTGCGCGTCGTCAGCCCGGTCCGGCCTGTTCCTGTCCCTCGCACCAAGCCTGTGGTGCGTGTCGTCAGCCCGGTCCGGCCTGTTCCTACTCCCCGCACCAAGCCAGTGGTGCGCGTCGTCTGCCCGGTCCGGCCCATTCCTGCTCCCCACACCAAGCCAGTGGTGCGCGTCGTCAGTCCGGCACGGTCCGTGCCTGTTCCACCGGTGCCTGGTCCGGCACCAGTCAGCTGCTCCACTCCGGAGCCAGAGCAATCCGCTCCACCGGTGTCCAGTCCAGCTCCGGCCAGCGGGACCAGACCAGGGGCGCTACAGGGGGGTAGAGGGAGAGTGGTGGTCACGCCCGGAGCCGGATCCGCCTCCGAGGCGGAATGCCCACCCGGCCCCTCCCCTGTTGTGTTTGGTTGGCGCGGTCGCAGTCCGCGCCTTTGGGGGGGGGTACTGTCACGCCCTGGCTCTGGGGACTCTTAAATGTTGAGCCAGGGTGTGGACTTGTTATGTTTAGTTTTCTATGGGTTTTGTTCTAGATCGTTTATTTCTAGGTTGGCCAGGGTGGTTCCCAATCAGAGACAGCTGTAGCTCGTTGTCTCTGATTGGGGCCCATACTTAGGCAGCCTGTGTTCACTAGTTTATTGTGGGATCTTGTTCCGTATGGTTTTGTGTATAACTTAGGACTTCACGTATCGTTTGGTTTATTGTTTTGGTTCGTGTGTGTACTGAAATAAAGAATGTACACACACCCATGCACACAGACAGACAGACATCTGTATAGGTATTCCCAACCATGCTATACAGTATGTTATGAATTTGCAAAACGTATGATATGTTACGAATTCTAGCTAGGTGGCTAACGTTAGCTAGGCTAGGGGTTAGTGTTAGGGGATAAGGTTAGGGTTATGTTTAGGAGTTAGGTTAAAGGTTAAAGGGTAAAGATTAGGGTTAGCTAAAAGGGTTAAGGTTAGGGTTAGGGGAAGGGTTAGCTAGCATGCTTAGTAGTTGCAAAGTAGTTAAAAAGTACTAAGTAGTTGAAAAGTTGCTAATTAGCTAAAATGCTCAAGTTGTCCGTGATGATATTCAAATTTGCAACCTTTGGGTTGCTAGACGTTCACGTTATACGCCCACCAATCTTAATCTGTTACTTCTGACACTGTCCTGAAAACATAAAGATACAACCATGGAGGTGGAAACATTTGATGACATCTGTTTATGCATACTCTACTGTTTCTGCTGCTAACCATATATTTGTGCCTGTACAGTAAGTACCTACCCACATCTAAAACATGGGTTTCTTTGATACTGTGAGAATGTGATTTGAAGAAGTCAGGCACAGGAGGGTAAATCACCGAATACAGAGTTTATTCCGTAGGACACAGTTACGCTGGATAGCATCAACAAAGTACAGGCACACGGGGAACAATATCCCCGGAAATACAAGGTACCTGTAGCTCAACCGAGCTACACTCAACTCACAATCACAAGGGGGGCAGGGGGAACACTTATTTTATTTTACCTTTATTTAACTAGGCAAGTCAGTTAAGAACAAATTCTTATTTACAATGACGGCCTACACCGGCCAAATCCAGACGACGCAGGGCCAATTGCACGCCACCCTATGGGACTCCCAATCACTGCCGGTTGTGATATAGCCTGGAATCAAACCAGGGGGTCTGTAGTGACGTCTCAAGCACTGAGATGCAGTGCCTTAGACCACTGCGCCACTCGGGAGCCCACTTATACATGTACTAATGAGGGGATACGAACCAGGTGTGTGTAATTGACAAGACAAGACAAATGGAATGATGATATATGGAGCGGCAGTGGCTAGTAGGCCGGTGACGATGAACGCCGAAGCCTGCCCGAACAAGGAGGGGAGGCAGCTTCGGAGGAAGTCGTGACAGATACATAACAGTTGAAGATATAATGGACTTGCATCTGTGTTATAATATTATCTTATGGTTGAATTAGTTATTACATGCATTAGATGTAACCAACGAATTCACATGTAGGTCACCAGTCAAATTTCTAACTGCAGTAGACTGGTCTTCTCTTCCCGGCTCACTTTTGCCTTTGCCTCCAAGACCG